AACTGTGCCTGTTTATTGTGGGAGGAAATTACGTTACCCAAGTGTCCATGTACCATAAGGTGGGACTCATGAGAGGCTCTTACTAGCTACTAACTCTTGTTTAGGATTTGAAGATGTGAAAAAAGACTGATGAGAAGTTCTAAGTAGAGCTTCTTTGTTTGACTACAGGCCTCACCAAGAGGGTGATCTCTCTGGGTTTATCAATTGGGTAGCCTCTGAGGTTGGTCTCGTTGGTCTGGTTAGATTTTCCTCTGTGTGTGTGTGATTAGATTTTCACAGAGAAGTCTATTTCCTGCCGATAGGATGAAGTTCCAGGCTGCTCTTGTTCTGGGAACTGATTAGAGAGAGACGTCTTAGCAGCCAGTATTCATTTGGTCACATCATCCTCCCCTATATTCTCTTTGGTACCTTGCCTTTCCATGTACCTGATGTAACTCAAGTCCCAGCCCCTCTGTTTGATTCTCTCAAAATCTGCGTCTCACCAAGTTGGAGGAGAGATGCACTTAGGCTTTTAACACCACCCCCTCCTCTCTCTAACTCCCCCTTCAACTTGACTTCCAGAAGGACTCTGGGACTGCCAGTTTCTGGCCTTTTCAAGGGCTCTACACACAGAAACAGTTGGCGCTCAGTTCTCTGTGCTGACTAAGAATTCGTTTGGGGGCTTTTCTTTTAGTGCCTATCTATTTCTGTTCTACGCTTCGGCCATTTTTTGGTGTTAACTTCTTTCCTATTTTCCCTGCCCTGTGATTCATGCTTTTTTAAAATAATGTTTTGTTGTCACTTTTATGAATGTCAGAAACACATTGGTGTGAAGATATGTGCAGTGAGAGTATATTCCTTCTTGCCCCATTGGAATTCATTTGAAATGGTAGGAGAGATAAGGCCAAGGAAAAGTCCTGTAGAGAGAGAGCTCTCAAACTTGATCCACACCCACCCACCCACCGCCCCAATGGTCTCTTCCTTCCACAGCTCAAGTGAAAATTAAAAGGCTGTACTTTCTTTGCCTTTCAAGAAACTGCCAGCCTGGAGCAAAGCTTGTTGCTCCTAGCCATATAGTATTCCTTCTTATTATTCCCTGAGATCCTTAGTTGGGAGTAGCTTAATGCACAACTCAAAATTATTTAAAAAAACAACACAGCTACAAACATCTACTAATAATTAGAATGTGAAATGTACAACTTAAGAATCTAGGAAATTTGGAATACATCAAAAATAAAATGGAATAAGGTAAATAGCCTAGGCATTAGTGAGTTGAAATGGACTGGAATTAGCTTTTTGAATCAGAGAAACATATGACCTACCATGCTAAGAATGACAAATTGAAGAGGAAGGGAGGCTCCTTTTTTTTTTTTTCCACAGTAAATCACTTTTTATTTTTATTTTTTTATTATTATTATTATTTTTTAACATTTTATTAGGGGCTCATACAACTGTTATCCCAATCCATACACACATCAATTGTGTAAAGCGCATTTGTATATCGTTTCTCAAAACATTTTCTCTCCATTTAAACCCCCGACATTAGGTCCTCATTTTTCCCCTCCCTCCCCGCTCCCCCCTCCCGCATGAGCCCTTGATAGTTTATAAATGGGTATTTTGTCATTATCTTGCCCTGTCCGACGTCTCCCTTCATCCACTTTTTGGTTGTCTGTCCCCCAGGGAGGAGGTCACACACAGCTCCATGTAATCGGTTCCCTCTTTCCTACCCATTCTCCCTTTACCCTCCCTGTTTTGCCACTCACACCACTGGTCCTATAGGGCTCATCCGTCCTGGATTCCCTGTATTTTCAGTTCCCATCTGTACCAGTGTACCTCCTCTGGTCTAGCCAGTCTTGCAAGATAGGATTCGAGTCATGGTAGTGGGAGCGGGGAGGAAACCTTTAGGAACTAGAGGAAGGTTGTATTTCTCATCATTGTTACATCGCACCCTGACTGGCTCATCTCCTGAAGGGAGGCTCCTTAATCATCAAAAGGATTATTTCATGATCTGCTCTAAAGTGCATTGTGTCAGTGGGAGGAAAATGCCCATGAACTTACAAAGATAGCTAGAATACAACTATTTATTAGTGAGGATAAGAACCATTTTATGAGTGAAAAAGACAAGCTCTTTGAAACATGTAGTCAGGCACACACTTTAGAAAATAAATAATTTTTTTACCCTTTGCAATATTTTTTGCATGGAATTGCTTCATAGTACTTATTGATGAATAATCACTTCTGAAACTCCAAGTCAAAAAGATGCTTAGGAAGCAATTTGTTTCCATTTTGAGGGATCCTATGTGGTTTATCCATTGTGTCCATTTGCTTTTAGAATTGGATTTTAATGAAAAATAATGATATAACGGCCCACTGATTGCTTGCCTTGAAGAAGTGAAAGTGTGTTCTCTTCTTTGTTTTCAGGTTGGCGTTGTAAACGGTATGGTCACCGAACAGGCGACAAAGAGTGCCCTTTCTTTATCAAAGGCAACCAAAAGTTGGAACAGTTCAGAGTAGTAAGTAAAACCCCACGATGTCGATTTACAATGATCAGAGCTGGTGAATGTCGATGAGTCAGCACTTGTCCAGCAACTAAAAGTTCACCAAAAATACATTCCCAGAAGCCTTCTGGCCAAAGCATCTGGTGTTAAACGGGCGTCTCTGTTAAATGGCATTTGTGTGACAGATTAACGTGTGACTTCTTTCTAAGGTGTTATTTGCTTATGATTGGGAACGGAATTTCTGTTTCTGAAGCACACATTATTTTCTATGCTATCATTTTTTAAATTTATGACATAGTCTATTTCATAACTAAAATTAGGGTTTTGGCTTCTCAATCTTAATATGATGATTAGTTATCTTTCTGTTGTGAGCTGGAACTGTATGTTTAACATAGATGTTCTCAATAGATAACAGTAAGACAAACCTACTACTTTCTCTTGAATAGACCATCAATTCAGTGCTCAGTAAATGCTTCTGCCAAATAAAGTACCGCATGCTGCTAACATATGTATTCAAGTTATCAGCATTTAGCAAACCAGAGTTCAAAGACATTTTAGAAGTTGTGTTCTTATTTTTTAAATTTAAAAAAAAGTATTACTGTGCACCAAAAACTGCTAGATGAAATGTCAATTTATTTATTTATTGGAAATGTCAATTTACATAGCTACTGTAGAAGATACTTTAGTGATAAAAGCCAAAACATTTAACTATTCTCATATGTTTTCAAACTCAGATATCCTTATTCTAAGACTTTATCCCAAAGATATAATAGAATATCTGTGTACCCACATTTTTATGGACATATAAGGTTAACTTTCAAAATTACTTATGTGGCTGAAAAAATTGAGACTAAAAAAAAAAAAAAGAAACAAATATACCAGTCTAATATACCAGTGTAAGTCACAATAACATACAAACCATATAGCCTTTAATAAGAATATTTTAAAATTCTATTTTAAAAGATTGCTTAAAGCACTTTAAAAGAAAATACGAAAACAATAGAGTTCTATACATAATACTTATAATATTTCATAAATTATAAATACTATTGGGAGAAAAACACTAAAATGTTAGTGGTTATCCCTGGGTGTTAAGATAATAGTGTTTGGGTTTTAAAATTTTTTTATTTAAGCTAAAATTTGACACATATCCATATTTTTACTGAGTTAATTCGCACGGCAAGTTTAAGTTGTTTTGAATTGCACAAGTAATAAAAAACTACGTATGCCATATAAAAGTAAATGAAACCACCACGCTCACTCCTGCCTCTCTCCCCAGAGGGATTTTGCAGTCTGATGAGTATAATTTCAGACATCTTTTGGGATGCTTGCGTGTATTTTTCTATACCTAAAATGGGTCGTTCTTACACTTGACATTCTTTCACTTTACAGTCTTACATTTTGCAACTCATTTGTTCTGCTTATTAATCCACATACAACAAAAAGCATTATCCTGCACTAGTGACCTCGCATATTACTTCATAGTGTGACTGTGTCATGGATTATGTAGTTATTTCCTCATAAAAGAATATTTCTTTTTTTTTTTTAAGAATATTTCATTTTCTGTATTTTAAGAATCAGAAAATCCTTTTTACAGCTTAATTGAGTTTGCTGTGATTGTGACCCTCAGGAAGGAGTAGAATATTTTTGACATTATATTACATCAAATGGGGGAGAAAAACTTGATGGTTTCAGTAAAATAAGGAGCTCATTTTTATCTAACTAATGGTCTGAGGCCTAACCAAACCTCGCCTTTCTCTGACCCCCAAGGCACATGAAGACCCCATGTATGACATCATACGAGAGAATAAAAGACATGAGAAGGATGTAAGGTGAGATCATCCTGATAACAGTATACCTTTAACATTTAAAATTATATGAATTATAACAACCACCCCAATACTAGGGATTGGTTTAGTAAATAATGGTACTCTCCATGGAAGTGTGTGGAGGACAAGCGTAATCAGTGAAGAGACTACGTGTGGAAGGAGCAGTGTGTGGCATGGAAGGATACAGACCTTGTTATTCTTGGAGTAGCTTAAAGCAGTAGACTTGCCCGAACACACACACACATCCCATCACTGACAGGTGACATTCACATTGTTGTGGCTGGTTCTCTTATGCATTTGATTATCCTGTGAATTGTTTTATTTTCTTTAATATCTTTAAGGATCTGAGCTTCTGTTAAATATTACTGTTTGGCCTAAAGATGGTGAAAAAAACGAAAGGGGTTTGGGTTTGCTTCACATTTGTTTACATTGAGTTTTAATTATTGAAGGAGGTATATTAAAATCTATAAAATTGAGCAGTATGAGAATAATTGAGGGAAGTATGTATCTACTAGAACTTATCACTGTAAGAACTTTTAAGAACATACAGAAGTATTGAGGAAAATGAATAGGGTACAAAATGGTTTGAACACTGGTTTGTCACTTCAAGTAGGTATTCACATGGACAAGAATAGGAACATAGACATCCCCCCAAGTGCTCTGTGTAGTGATAACATTTTTCTCCCCCAGCACTGCTCTGAAGTCAGTCGTTTGACGTGTGATGCTTGTCTAAACGCTGTTCTGTGTTTAGGATACAGCAACTCAAGCAGCTCCTGGAGGACTCCAGCTCCGATGAAGACGGCAGCAGCTCCTCGTCCTCGGAGGATAAAGAGAAGCACCGGAAAAAGAAGAAGAAAGAAAAGCATAAGAAAAGGAAGAAAGAAAAGAAAAAGAAGAAAAAACGAAAGCACAAGTCTTCCAAGTCAAACGAGAGTTCCGACTCAGACTGACAAAAGAAATGGATTCGTTCCCCGTTTTCTTCTCAAAATGAGACTCTTGTGGCCAAAGAAGCAGGGGAGAAGCAAGTGGAGAGAGCAAAGCCGAGTCCGCCTGGCTGTGAACTCTCACCTGCCTCCCCGTCAGGGTGTCACCCACAGGAGCTGCGTGGCTCTCCCAGGTGCTAGTGTGGGACAACTGCTGATTTCAGTCAAGAACCTTGACATGGTGTTCTCCTTTGGCCACTCGCTACAACATGTGATTCATTCAAAAGGCCGCCCTTGGCAGGTGCCAGGCAACAGGACTCTGAAGAAGCTTCTGTGGGTTCCCCTCATAGTGAGACTACTTCATTTCTACAGACTTATTTCACAGGCTTGTGTTTACTCTCATGTTGATGGTAATAAAAGCTGATTATTTTATTTATTTTTAAAAATATTTTTAAAATTTTATTTGTGAATAATAATAATACTCATGCATGGTCCTAGTATAAAAGGGGCATACAGTTTAATCATGAAAAGTCTTCCTCTCTCTCTCCTGTCCCAAATACAGTTCCTTCCCCATTGACTACCAATAGTCTCAGTTCCTAGGGCAGTCTTCCAGAACTACTTTATGTACCACAAATACAAGTGACTTTTTTCAAAATTCCTTTTTTTAATGCAAATACTAGCATATATTCCACATCTATGGAGACATCCTTGTTGTTGCTGCTGTTAACCCAACAATGTAAAACAGTGTAATGTTTAATTGGGCCTTGCTGCATATGAAAGGTTTGTTTCAAAACCCCTGGCACAATTGGTGCAGAGATTTTGAGAGGTGAATAACAATACACAACCTGTATGGCTACACTCTATTTAACTTGCATGGATATTAGTGCCAGAGTCCCAGTATTTTCCCAAAGTGGTTGAGAAAAATTATAAAAATATAAGTAATGCTGGAATAGGTCAGCTACCTAAATTTTAATATACCTCCCTCGCTTCCTTTCTCTTTCCTGCAGAGCACATCACCTGGGCTCCCAAGCTTTGACTTTTCCACAGCAGAGGCAGCTCTGTGTTGGTGCCTAGAGCCAGGGAAGTGTCAGTCAGTTCTTTGAAGAGCCAGAGAGGGGCCAGTTCTTGTTCCTAAGTGCCCTTCCTTATTTGCAAGGACAGTTGTTGCTTTCAGGAACCGTGGTGGCATAGTGGTTCTATGCTTTAGGTTGTGATCTGCAAGGTCAGCAGTGCAAAACCACCAGCCACAACCAGGCTTTCTACTCCCGTGGACAGTACAGTCTTGAAAACTCACAGGGGCAGTTCTACCCTGTCCTATAGGGTCGCTATGAGTCAGCATCAAGTCGATGGCAGTGAGCCTGGTTGATTGTTGTTTTCAGCACTCGGGGTTCTAGGAACTCCTCCATACTACCATTTCCTGCCTCATTCCCTAGGGACAAGATTCACTGCTCTAAAGAATAACCCATCCAGACCCATGTTGGCCCCTTCTCTAACTCTCATCAGTAAATGCTCTCCATCTTGCTCTTGGAATAGTATCCCTTAGGAACACAGTTTATGCAGATTGTAATTGTGGGGACATGTTTCTGAAGACCTAATGGCCTGTTCATCCACTCACACCTTGTCATCCTTGCCCAGCAGGCAAGATAGCTTCTCAGCCATTGGTCCTCTCCCATATGCCTCTGTGTTTCTTATCCAGTCCCAGCCTCCTTGGTTCTTCCAAAACTTCTCTGTCCTTTCTGGGACCAGGTTTTACTATAAATATATTCTACTCTGATGGAGAAGAATCTAATTCTCAAACTTTTAGGACATCAGAATCACCGGGAGGGCTTGTTAAAATACAAATTTCATCACTGTTCCCATTCCCACAGTGTGAGATTCAGTGTCTAGACTGGACCTTGAAACTTGCGTTTCCAACAGGTTCCCCTGTAACACTGGGATGGCTGTCTCTGTGAGGGAACTACGGTTCAATTTATTAACAGTGACTGAAGTCTTTTTCCACTCCCTGCCCTCACTTGATCTGCTTGTCTTCTTGTAAGTCATTGCCGTCCCTTCCCCACCTCTGATTTTATCTGCCTTCTGCTTCTGGTCTTTAAAGCCTGTTCATAACTTCTGTCTATCATTAACCTTTTTGTCCTGTTTACAATAAAAATGTCAAGCCAAACTCTTCCCACTCTGCTCCTAAATATGGACAAATGGAGAAAATCACACAGCTGATGGCCATAGGAATTCATCATCTTCAAGCTCAACTGATGCTATAAAGCTGATGAGCCAACCAAAAGTTTTTAATAATCTATTCAAACCTTCAATCCTCAAACATCTCCCCTCAGGCTCAGTCCTCACCACTCCCACCCAGGAAGGTAATATAAACCCTCAGGCCTCCCTTCACCAAGCATCCTTCCAGTCTTACATCATATTTGTGGGTAAGGGGAATCATAAATTGGCCTCCATGATTCTCCCTCCTGGTCTCCAAAGATCAAACCCAACCCATTGCCCTCAGACAATAGCAGTTCTATAGAACAGACTCGAACTGCCCCTTGGGGCTTCCAAGGGTATAATCTTCAGGTCTGTTAATGTAATGAATTTTATTCCAGTAAGTGGAGAAAGTTACACTGAAGCTGATGTTCTTACAAGGAGGGTTATCCTAAATCATAGGAGCCCTTTAAAACCAGGGTTTTTTCTCTAACTGGTAGCAAAAGAAGTCAGGAAAGGTCCAGTCATGAATAAGATTGGGCATGCTGTTGTGAGCTTTAAAGATGAAGTGGCCACATGGACAGGAATGGGACAGCCTTTATATGCTGAGAGTGGCTTCCCACTGATCGCTGCTAGGAAATGAGGCCTTCAGTCCTATAGCCGTAAGGAACAGAATTCTGCCAAACTACTTCAATAACCTGAGAAGCTTATTTTTCTCAAGAGATTTCTGGCAAGAGCCCAGCCCTGTTACACCTTGGATTTGGCCTTGTAAGACTAAGAAGAGAATCCAGCCCAGCCTGCACAAGCTTCTAGATACTGAATGGCTGTTGTTTGAAGCTGCTGCTACATTTGTAATGATTTATTATCCCGCGGTAGAAGTATAGTCCAGTGGTTGAAACAGGTTTCCCTCTCCTTGATGACAGTCCACCTGTGCTTAGGGCACAGACTCAGCAACAGAAGAGGCAGTATATCAGCACAGGATCTGGATCTAGACTGGTTTCAATCCCTAGTGCGCCACTTACCAGCTATGAGACTGGGCAAGTTACTTGAGCTCTCTGTCTTTATATTTCCTTCACTGTAAACCAGTGATCATATTTACCTAATAGGGGCATTATGAGAACTAGATGGTTTGATCCTTGTAACAAAATTAGAACAGAAGTTGGCACATTTTAAGTGTTAAATGAATGTTAGTCACTCCTACTCTTATTCTCTACTACAACTTTTTGTATTGTGTTATCTCACTCATGTCTTCAGACGCCCGTTCTGCTGCTATGCTGCCATCAGCACCAAAGTTCAGTGTCATTACCCATTAGAGATGCAAATCAAAACCATTTCACTCCCACTGTAGGGTCGCCATGAGTCCGAATCAACTCAATGGCAGCGAGAGTTTAAGGATAGCTAGGATTTTTAAAAAATAACAAATGTTGGCATGGATGTGAGGCCATTGCTGGAGGAATACAAAATAGTTACAATGGTTCTGCTAAATAAATAGGGTGGTCGTTTCTCAAAACAAACCAAAAACCTAAAAATAGAACTACCATATGGTCCAGCAATTTCATTCCTACGTATATACCCAAAAGACTTAAAGGCAACAACTCAAAGAGAGACTTGTGCATTGCACAATATGCCAATGTACATTGCAGCCCTATTCATCATAGCCAAAAGGTAGAAAGGACGTCAATGGCCGTCAACAGATGAATGGATCAGCAAAAACGTGCATATGGACAACCGAATACAACTCTTAACTCACTCCCCCTGTGGGTTTCCCAGTAGAAAGCCATGTCTTTCTCCAAACAGTGACTAGTGGTTTCCAATTGCAGGCGCTGAGGTTAGTGAACTAGTGCATAACCATTCTGCTTCCAGAGCTCCTTGGAATACCAGTTAGCAAGTAGAAAAATGCAGTGTTGGTAGATGCTATTATGTGGATGCAGCTTGAAGACATTACGCGGAGCAAACTAAGTCAATCACAAAAGGACAGATATGATCTCACATATAGAAAGAAAAGGTACGTTGTAGTGGTTAGGAAGGCCAGGGGAAGGTGGAAAAAGAGACTAGGAAAATTGCATTATGTGAAGGTAGAGTCGCACTGCCAATTTCTGTAATTGCTGTCAGTAAGTAGTATACCTCTAAGAAGTTGAATTGTCAAAAGTTGTTTGACAGATATATGTACAGTAGAAGAAAGACCGTTGCTGCTAAGATTGCTTCAGTACAACCAAATATGGCTTGGGATTTGGTTCCTTGATTTGGAGGTAGAGAGTCATGGTTTCACGGGATATCCCAACTAATTGACCCAATTGTGAACTGCTTTTGTTCTACCTCCTAGCTGATTTTGTAGTGCCTGGGGCCTAATGGCTTGCAAGTAGGCACCCAATTAACCAATGTGTAGCTACTTGCCTCCAGGAACTACTGCCTCTTTTGCCTTTAGACCAGCGGTTCTCAACCTATGGGTCACAACCCCTTTGGGGGATCGGACAACCTTCTCACATGGGTCGCGTAAGACTGTCAGAAAACACATTTCTGATGGCTTTAGGATCCAAGACACTGCTCCTCTATCCGTCTCCAGGAGGGTCCGCACACATGCAGATACACCTACATACTAGTACTGGTGTGATGGCATCATCACACCAACCCCATCACCTACACCCGTACAAATACAGGTGTAAGTGACAGGGTTGGTGCCATAATGTACTTATGCAGACCAGTCACATGTGTAAAGAGCAGCTACTCTGTAGAAAGCAGCTACTGTGTTGAAAGCAACAGTACTGGAGGTAAGACGACACTTCATGAATTATAATTACTGGGTAAATGTAAGGTCATCAACTATTGCACACAAAAAAATTTGTACCATGGGAACTTAATCTTTATGTTCAATTTATAATAATGAGAATACATCCTATGTATCAGATATTTACATTATGATTCATAACAGCAAAATTACAATTATGAAGTAGCAATGAAAACAATTTTATGGTTGGGGGTCACCACAAAATGAGGAACTGTATTAAAGGGTCACGGCATTAGGAAGGTTGAGAACCGCTGCTCTAGACCAAAAGAAGTAGATGATACCAGGTACTATTACTGAATATTTTGATAAAAAGCTTCTATAGAAGAATCTTGTTTGTGCTCGCTTCGGCAGCACATATACTAAAATTGGAACGAAACAGAGAAGATTAGCATGGCCCCTGCACAAGGATGACACGCAAATTCGTGAAGCATTCCATATTTTTGATTCCTGACCACAG